TTTATAATTAATTTTGGTTTTTCTTGTTTACAACCCATTATAATGTGACCCAAAAAATATATAAATAAATTATTTATAAATACTTTTAATTTGTAATTAATTTTGTTTTTACAGTAAACATCGATAATGTGGACGAAGTGGTCAAACGTATAACACTGTCGACTGAAAGGAAACCGGTTTCTGAAGAGAATCTTCTGATCGTTGAAGCGATTCCTGAACTGTTGGAACCAAAGCAGAGAATATTCAAAGAATTGTGGTTTGTTTTGAATAACAGACGAATAATATTCAAAATAGGCATTAATTTTAATTGATATAATTTTAGTGAAACTTTTAAACACAATAAGTCTGTAATATTTGTGACGAACACGTCTTCGCTTCCGTGCTATGAAATCGGCAAATATGTTGATTGCAAAGACAGATTCGGAGGTATTTCTAATCAAACATTTGTGTGAAGTTTGCAATAATGTGGTCAATGAATGGCTACTTTAATTGGTCAATAGGTCTGCATTTCTTCAATCCGGTGCCTCTCATGAAACTCGTAGAGATTATCAAAGTGATGGACGGAACCAATGAACACACTTTTGAATCTCTTCAGCAGTTTGTCAAAGACATTGACAAAGTGGGCGTCTCTTGTAAGGTATCACTCATTATCATCACTACATAGATATTTAAAAACAAGTGCCAAATATATTAAAATGACTGATTTTTGATTGATTGCAAACATAGGATACGCCGGGATTTATTGTGAACCGACTACTGGTGCCGTATATGTTGGAAGCCGTCCGACTCTTGTAATAGATTTTTGATGACATTAATGTTTTTTGTTTGTATTTATAATTGCCTTAAACTATAGGGAGAGAGGAGACGCCACCGCTCGAGACATTGACATTGCCATGAAATTGGGCGCCGGATATCCTATGGGTAAACATTGAATGAATGCGTTAATCAAATAATGAAAATAATTTTTCTTTTTCTTTCTTTAATTCTTAGGTCCCTTTGAACTGATGGGTAATGTCTTCTTGAGTTTGATTTACAGCACTATTTGACACTATAATTGATTTGTTGTGAAACTAATGGTTTGATTAATGATTGATTGTTTTGCGCAGATTATGTCGGACTCGACACCAATAAGTTCATAGTGGACGCCTGGTCTGCGAGGGGTGACCCGAGTCTCACTATATATAAGTCTAAACT